CCATAAGATACAATGATGAATCACGTAAGCTGCTGGCAATGCTCTAGGCCGGGCGTGGGCCTGCCAGCTGTGCTGAAACTACAAATCCCATCATGCATCTGTCTCCGGGGGTCATGCCTGTGGCTGTCACAGGTTTGCAATGCCTCATGGGACTTGTAGTTGCAGCACAACTGGAGGGCCGGACTTTGCCCACCTCTAGTCCAGGCACACAGCTCCCGATGCCAACAGGATGGGGGATGGGATTTCCTGGCTCCCATAGTCAGAGCTTTGGGCTAGAGTCCATGGGATCCGTTAGAGATCATTCAGAACTCATTGACTTGTATGTCTGGGTTGCGGCTGACCTGCTTCCAGCAAGCTTTGCATCCCTATAGACTTGTATGGGAATCCAAAACCGCCGTATCTCCTCCGGTCCCCTATTTGCACGGCGTTACCCCGGAAGCTTCCGGAGGACTTACAATCATCGGGCCTTTGTTGTTCTCGCGGTACTTGGTCTGGAGGAAGATGTAGGTGACGAGCGCCCCCAGCGAGTAGAGGAAAGCGAACACCGCGATGGTGACGAAGAACTCGGCGGAGGAGGAATAATCCCCGACCAGAAATATCTTGTTTGAGCCGGCTCCTCGGCATGTTGGGGCATCAAAGTACTCCTGGTGTAGCCTGCGGGGGAGAGAAGGGGAAACCAAAGGAGTTAAAGAGGACCTGTTACAGGGAATGCCGCCATTTTGTGGACTGTGGTAGGGACTCACAAGCACATGGGAGACACTTTAAAGATGTTCTAGGACTTCCTAATTGGGATAAGAGAAATTAAGGGCCCCCCCCCTCCCTGCCATACCAGGTCACATGCCCTCGGCACTGGGAGGGCCCCCCCCCCTGGAAAAGCACCTTGTCCCTGTGCCGATGGGGACAAGGGCCTCTTCCCAACAAGGCCCTGGGGTGTTGGTTGTGGGGGTCTGTAGGCAGGGGGGCTTATTTGCATCGGGGTACCCCTTTCATAAAGGGGGGAATTGTGGATGAGTAAGGGGTACCCACCCACTAAAGGGTTAAATAAAAAGACCAGACTTTGGAAAAACTCTTTTGATTGGAAAAAAAACACTACAACATTTTTGGACAATTCCTTTAATTGAAACACCCCCCCCAAAATGATTCCAATGAAGTAATCCACGTCAATCACGGCGTCCAGCGTTGTCAACGAAGACGCCGACTCGCTGAAATTTTTTTAAAAAGCCAGACGCCCGCCGACCCGTCATAAATGACCTGGTGGCAGCAAAAAGTAAACAAATGGGTGGAGCCATTTTGGGGGAAATGCGTTGGGAGTGAAAAATTTAGGTGGTTTTAAGGGTGTAAATGGGCTTTCAATGGATCCCGAGGATCAGGGATGAGCTCAGGTTCAGAACCCGGAGCTCCTCCGAACAGCGCCACAGGCCACCCGTCTAATCAGCTGAAAAAAAAAAAAAAAAAGGAGGGGGGGGGGGGGGGGCAGGGTGCTTGTGCTGACATCATTGACCTTCTCTGACCACGTAAGGTCATGGCAAAATGAATACACAATTATATACTGGCATTAGTGACAATGCTTAATAAAGATTAGGCCGGACTACATCATATATTATATATTTTAGGGGTGCACCGAAATTTAAAAAAAACGAAACCGAAATTTTAAAAAATTGTCTGCGGATTTAAAAGCCAACTCCATAGGAGGTGGCCCAGGACCAGATACAAGTAGTCCTTGTCTGTATATACGTTGGATCGGCCACCAGCCGACAAATCATTTAGATATGGATCTGGAACTCATTAGAACTGCCTTACCCACAAGAAAAGTGACTATGGTGACAGGTTCTCTTTAAAGGAGACATTTAGGCTCCCAAGCTTAAACAGAGCCCCATCTGCTTGTTTACCCGGCCAGAACGGTGGAGGCTTGACTGCCCTGAACCCGGAAGTGCTCTGAGTTGAGCGCTTCCAGGTTCATACTAAAACATAGGAGGAGATCTGTGATTAAAGTAATTGCTTGGGATGCACCGATACCGATACTAGTATCGGTGCCGATACCGAGTATTTGGGTGAGTACTCTTTCAAATGCTCCGACACCTAGCACGAGTACTTCCTGTATCAGGAAGCCGGGCAGAGCATCGTTACACGCTGCCCGGTTTCCTGATTGGCCTGATTGGCCAGGAAACGGCTCCATCCTCCCTCGTCACTTGTGATGAGAGAGCATGGAGCCGGTTTCCCGGCCAATCAGGAAGCCGGGTAGCTTGTAATGACGCTCTGCCTGGCTTCCCGATTGGTCAGGAAGCTAGCAACTCCGGAAGCCGGGCGCCGTGTAATGACGCAGCGCGGGGGCATTCTGATTGGCCCGGAAAGGCGGCGTCAGGCTCCCTCGTCATCTCATCAATCATAATATTAAGAAACTGACCTTAAAGCATTAGTTTGTATTGCTTTAGAAAAAAATTTGACCTGTCCCTTTAAGAAAAAGTATCGGTAATTGGTATCGGCGAGTACTTGATCAAAAGTATCGGTACTCGGTCGTAAAAAAGTGGTATCGGTGCATCCCTAGTAATTGCCATTCTAAAAAAAACGTCTGAAGATGTCCGGAGCTCAGAATGTGTTCCTATTAGAATCCTGAAGTTATAACAGGATTGTATGTGCCGGGACTTTACAACTCCTTTAAAAACTTTATTGCTATCACAAGGGGGCTGAACATCCCCATATGTGATAGCATGGTGCTGGTGACAGGTTGTCTTTAAGGAGACATTAGGGGTCTGTTCGACTCCCAAGCTCAAACAGACCGCTATCTGCTTGTGTACCCGGCCAGAACGGTGGAGGCTTGACTGCCCTGAACCTGGAAGTGCTCAGAGTTGAGCGCTTCCAGGTTCATACTAAAAACATGGGAGATCTGTGAATGGAAGTCATTGCCATTCTAAAAAAAAAAACGTTTGAAGACGTCCTGAGCTCAGTGTGTGTTCCAATTGGAATCCAGATGTTACAATGTTATTGTATGTGCCGGGACTTTACAACTTTGTTACTATCACAAGGGGGCTGAACATCCCCATATGCGATAGCATAGTGCTGGTGACAGGTTTTCTTCAGGGAGACATTAGGGGTCTGTTCGGCTCCCAAGCTCAAACAGACCGCTATCTGCTTGTGTACCCGGCCAGAATGGTGGCCCTATCCGCTTGTGTACCCGGCCAGAGCCGTAGCTGGCTCCTTTTGCACCCGAGGCAAGAACAGAAAATTGTGCCCCCCAACAGACATGTGATGTCACCCAACGCCGCACTTGTGTGGCATCATGTGACGTCATGCGCCCCGCCTCCAGGCGGGGGTAGAGCAGTGGGGATGCGAGGAGAAGATGGAGCCTGTGCCGCTCTTCTCCCTGCCGAGCCGTGGCTGCCGGGTGCCCCTGTTGCCATGGTGCCCTGTGTTTGTCATGGTTGCGCCCCCTCTCAACGGCGCCTGAGGCGAGTGCCTCACTCGCCCCCATGGTAGCTACAGCCCTGTACCCGGCCAGAATGGAGGAGGCTTGACTGCCCTGAACCTGGAAGTGCTCAGAGTTGAGCGCTTCCTGGTTCACCGTACACATGCGAGAAGTCGTCATTCTAAAAAATGTCCCGAGCTCAGTATGTATTCCTATTACAATGCTGATGTTATAACCGGATAGGATATGCCGGGGGCTCCTTTAAATTACCACCCTACCCGACTTGCCGTATTAAAAAGGTGCAGAAAGGTCATGTTATATCGTACAAAAAAACAAAATGGTGGATGACCACAAAACTCACTTAAATGGATATTCAAAGTCCACTTTAATATTCAGCTTGCTCTCGGTTTTGTTGCTACATTCAACGCTGAGCGTGAATTGTCCGGAGTAGCTTCCGCATGTGGCGAAGGCAAAGATAGAGAAGAGCTGTAAAGGGAGACAAAGAGGAAGGCAGAATAAAGACAGGGTGACCCACAGAGAAGGCCGGCATTGAGGACTACAATCAGCATGCAGCCAGCGTTATACAGTATATAGAGACGGGAGGAACAAGAAAAACGGGAGGAGGATGGGAGATAACAGAGGCAAGGATGAAGAGGTGGGGCGACTCATACTGTATAGAACAAGGGATTCGATCGGCGGTCTCAAAGTACCGGCCCGCTGGGGGCCAATTGCGACCCGGTAATCCGTTGCCCGCGGACAAGTCAGGTAGGCGGTCACGGACCGTGCACCCCGACCTGCGGGAGCAGCTGCACGGTCGGCATCTCTGTTGGATGCAGCAGACCGTAGAGCTGCTCCCGTCACGCAGATCCTTTTCGGCCAGCGTCTTCACTAAACGCGGGCCGAGAGGATTGATCAGTCAGGTCTGCAGCAGACCTCACCAATCACCCGCTGGATCACCAGGGATCGCGCCTACCCGCCTCCTCCCTGCAGAAACATATGCAGGTGAGGGGAGCTCTTTGTAGGTGGACAGGGGCGGTGTATTAGTGTGGAGGGGAGTGCATTATGGGGGGTTGTATATTATGGGGAGTGTATTATTGTGGGGGGGGGTCGGGCGGAGAATGTATAAAAAAAAAGTGGGAAGTGTAATTTTGTGGGGGGGGCCTGAGGAAATTTGAAAAGCGGCCCCATGGGAGAAAAAAAAAATGTCCAGTGGCCCCCGAGTGACTTGAGTTTGAGACCCTTGGATTAGATGAAGGATGCCGGCCAATCAGAATGGAGAGCTAGAGCCTCAGTGCTAATGGACAACGCATTTCCAATGGAGGCATTGGGATGACACTATGGAAGGCTATGGGCAAAGGACTATCTCAGGGCCAGTCGCTTTAATAAAAGGACAGTTATCCTTTAAATAGGCAGCAGCTGTCATTTGTTGAGGCTCATTGGCTGCCTTGCTCATGGGATTTGCCCGGCCTTGTTCTAGATTTCACTAATTGCATTATTATCGCTCTTAACATGGCTGCGTGTCACAGGTCCACAGCAATCTGCTCCCTACCAACGCCATAGACATACCTCCTTTCTCATCAGGGGGCGTCCTCAGGCCCGGGTGACACCCCACCGTGACGTCATCGCGCATGCACGGCGATCTTATCGATACCTGCTGGCGGCCATCTTGGTGATGGACGCCGGCAGGGAGAGGAGAGCACAGTCACCCGGCGGGATAAGATATTCCACCAGGTCCCCTCCTCTCTCCCGAAACTGTCAGGCACTCGGTCCATGACCGAGTGCCTGACTTTTCAGAGGGGGGGGTGACGCCAAAATGACTGTCAGCCATTTTGGTGTCACCCGGGTGTGGGCCGCATCCCTGTTGTGACGCCACTGTTTCTCTTGCCAAATAATGATGACATTAGGCCCCACCCTTCCCAATATCACTTCCAATGTTACAATAAGAACTGCTGGTTTGTGGCAATTCTTATTCTAACATTTACCTTAATATGCCCAACTTTCATCCCTCCTTATTGGTCTCATTGTTTGGCATAGGAGGTGTCACAGTTCAGCTGCAGACTTGCAGCTGAACTGTTACTTGTGGTTCTACAAGTATATACATATCTCTTACCCCTGGTTCTGCAAGCATGCAGGGCTGTGCTGGTGCTTGTAGTCCTCCAGGGTTGTGCTCTGAACCCGACCTCACTCTTGCACCTGTCTGCAAGCTATAGGCGTTGGCCGACCTCTCCTGCTGTTTCTTATGCAGTTTGTCCTTGGATATCCCTGTGTACAGTCTGCCCTGTGCTTTGCTTTGTCCTTGGAAATCCCTGTCTACAGTCTGCCCTGGGCTTTGCTTTGTCCTTGGATATCCCTGTGTACAGTCTGCCCTGGGCTTTGCTTTGTCCTTGGATATCCCTGTGTACAGTCTGCCCTGTGCTTCGCTTTGCCCTTGGAAATCCCCGTGTACAGTCTGCCCTGTGCTTTGCTTTGTCCTTGGAAATCCCTGTGTACAGTCTGCCCTGTGCTTTGTCCTTGGATATCCCTGTGTACAGTCTGCCCTGTGCTTTGCTTTGTCCTTGGATATCCCTGTGTACAGTCTGCCCTGTGCTTTGCTTTGTCCTTGGATATCCCTGTGTACAGTCTGCCCTGTGCTTCGCCATTGTCCTTGGATATCCCTGTCTACAGTCTGCCCTGTGCTTCGCCATTGTCCTTGGATATCCCTGTCTACAGTCTGCCCTGTGCTTCGCTTTGTCCCTGGAAGTCTTCAGACTGTCCCTAACCTTTGATTCGTACCCTGTACCTAGTAGGTGAGTTGGGTGGACCTAGGGATTGTGACCTGGGGTCAGCACGCAGCCAAGCCCATCTCCACCATCAGGAGCTCTGGCGATTCCCTGCTGGCCCTTAGATTCCACATCCTGGGGGACCCCGTGCCACCTACTCAGCATTGCAGCACCCTGACTTGTATTTAAACTTCCCGCTTAAGCCGACTTCCACTGCCTCCTTCAGTTCCCCTGCTCTGTTCCCCTGCTTGTATTCCAGCTCTGGGAGTCGTCAGCCTACACTGCTTGGACCCTTTTCTCTGAGTGTCCCTGCGAGTGCTAAGGGTCCACATACCCGACTCCAATTCATACCCGTGAGCCCCGGATCCGTGACAGGAGGCCCCATTCATCCTACTTCAGGAGTCCCCTCTATTGTTACTCTTTGCATGGCACCAGGACCTGGCATAATGTCCTCCTCCGGTGTAGTCACTTCTGTTTCATTGGTTTATACTGGGCTTTTCCCCCAACTTTCATATCCCCCCCCCCCTTTGGTCTCATTGTTTGGTACAGGAGGCCCCATTCCTCATTGTTCAGGAGTCCCCTCTATTCTCCAGGGCTGGGGAACTCCCTTGAGGAATCACATGACAAATATGGCTCCCCTACATCAGGGGAGTCCAAACTCCGGCCCTCCAGCTGCGGTGGAACTACAATTCCCATGATGCATTGCAAGATTCTCACAGCCACGACTCCGGGAGAGAGATGCATCATGGGATTTGTAGTTTCACCCACAGCTGGAGGGCCGGAGTTTGGACACCTCTGCAGATCGACCTTCACCACACAGCACCTGGTGACCTTCCTCTTATTACAGTACAATCTACTCAGGATAATGCTGGACCTTTCAGTCTCCAACATGCTGCTCCCTATTACACAATAGCAGTATCTCCTTCCCGGCCTGCTTGTTCCTGGACTGGAGTTACCGAATGTCTGGGGAGATCAGACCAATCATATGGTGATGAAGTTCCTTATCTGGAGAAACAGCTTGCGTTAAAGGAGAACTATGGGGTTAAGGCTTTCCCCCATAGTTCTCCTTAGGGTAACAGGAGGACACAAACTAGCGTCCTCCCGTCACCCTACAAGTTCAACCTTTGTGTGTCTGTGTGTGATTCCGCATACGTGTGTGTGTATATGAACATGTGAAGGCATGGTCGGAGACTTTGCTGGCGATTGGTAAAATGATACCGCCAATGCATTGCGGAGGGGTTGGGCTCCCCCTTCTTCAGGGCTCATATTGATAATTTGGGGTGATTGCCCTGGAGCTACTAAGAGACTATGTGTGGGGATTTGGGTCAGTGTGGGGGAGGTTGGTGTATCTCACAAACCTGGCTGCATCAGTTTACCAATAAAGTCTGGAACCGTACGTTCCTGTGTACGACGCTTCATTCAAGGCGCTTTTCATTGGACACACACACACAAGCCATCAGCCTGAGGAACCAGCACCTTGCTCAATTCCTAGAGGTACCCGACAGTCAACCTTTCTGGAATGACCTACCAGCCGCACCACAGTTCTTACCCCTTCTTCCTACCATCTGACCATCAACCACCAATCAGGTAAGGCCTCACAATCCGGCACTACTCCTATCAACCCTTCCCCGTGCAGCCCCCCTCCATTTACGTTGGAATTATCTCCTTTGGGTCTACCTGGTGAGATGGTGAGGCTTGAAAGCCAAGCTGAAAATTGAGAGTTGACATCTGCCGCCTACAGCTTTGGTTCTACTAAACCACACGTGTCAAACTCCAGGTCCAGGGGCCGGATCCGGCCCACCAGGCCATTTCCTAGACTTCTACTTTCAGATCTCGGTATTAAGTTATTACTACAACCCGTGATAATGGAATGCAGAGGCAACGATGATGACGATTAGATACATTTATATGGTCTTACAGATACCATTGAGGGCAACCATAATGTTGATGCGGCCCACCATTATATTGAGTCTGACACCCCTGTACTAAACATTTTCGAGAGGCTTTTTGCGGTGAAAGTAGTCTCGTATCAGGTTGGCCATACACTGCCTAAATTTAGGCCCGAGTCGGCAGGTCTTGGACGAAAATCAAGCTGTGCTTGGGCCTGTGGGCACCACTTCATTCAACTAATGTAGAAGGAGCTGTGTCGAAAAATGCAGCACCCCCCACTGCAGTCAGAATACAATAGTCCACCTCTACACGCATCTTCACCATATAATGACATGTCCACCTCTACACGCATCTTCACCAAATAACGACATGTCCACCTCTACACGCATCTTCACCATATATCGACATGTCCACCTCTACACGCATCTTCACCAAATAACGACATGTCCACCTCTACACGCATCTTCACCATATATCGACATGTCCACCTCTACACGCATCTTCACCAAATAACGACATGTCCACCTCTACACGCATCTTCACCATATAACGACATGTCCACCTCTACACGCATCTTCACCATATAACGACATGTCCACCTCTACGCGCATCTTCACCATATGGCCGCTTTGACTTGGCCAAATCTGTTACCCGTTCACTCGAATGTATCTGTAGCGTGTACGGTGCTAATTATACGGATCATATGTAAATGAGTCGCAGATGTAACATGTCAGCCTCTCTTGTTGCCAAATTTAGCTAGAAAAGGTGGGCGGCATAATCAGGGCCGCTGGGCACCTTCCAGAGCTGGCAGCTTCTTCAATGATCTGGTTAATAAAT